GTGGGTTTCTTGTTGGCAATGTCATCCAGAATCGACGCCAACGAGAACAGAATCGACGACCCCGCGATCCATTCGCGGGCGTGTTGCAGGGCTTGAAAGTACAACGACTGCGAGTGGCCCTTGGTCAGCTTGTACCCGTAAATCGTGGCCCCATTGTACGTCTTGGAGATGGCAAATTTGCTCAGCAACGTCGGGTTTTGGGCGGCCAACGCATCGGTGAACTCGTAGATTTGGTCGCTGGTGCGGAAGCAGTTGTGGAACGCACTGGTCGCGTACTGTCCGGCTTTGAGAGACGAGATGTAGTTGGCGTTTTCATTGTGACACTCGCGGTTCAACTCGGCATCGCCTACTTCGACAAAATTCTCCTGCAACATTCGAGCGCGGACATTGATGTCCGCGACGGTGTTGCTGGTTTGGGCGGTGGCCGTCGCCGCGAAGAGGGCAATGGCACTGAGGAGGAAGAACTTCATGGGAAAAGGGAGTGTGGGCTACCAAAGCGCCCTCGACAGGATTCGTGATGGTGTGATACGTACGACATGGCAAGAACATGAAGCCGAACAAGCTTGCCAAGGTCATTGCGCCTCTCTATTGGTCTCAGAATTCCGTACAACTTCAAGTTGGCAGAATGTAGGTGCCAACATCCCTGTCAAAGAAAGTATCAAGTGAGATGATGTTTTGGACTGGCATGGACCATTTTACTGTTAACGGGTGCCATTAGTATGACTAAATATAGTAGTACTAGTAAAAAAGTGACGTCGTCCCAGACACTCGAACCCGTCCCTTCGACTCGAGAGTCGAACACATTAACAATGCTACCCAAATCACCCTAGAAAGAACGCCATCCCAAATAACCGCCTTCCACCCCAAGGTAAATAAACCCTAACAGTAAAACGATGCTACGCGCGTAATCATTTCCTACAACGGAACATTATGGGAAATGATTACGCGATGCCATTATTTGTACCAAAAGACTTGTACAGTACTGTCAAGTCGTGAGTGGTTAAGACATGACAATGTGCATACAATGTCTAACGTTAGTGGATAGATACCGGTGAGACATTATTGTGAAAATCGCCAACAAATAGCCGCTATGATTTCATTAGTTAGAATTTCGAAGATTTGGGCAGAACATGGACATCCAACTCAGTTTACGACGACGTGTAGTCGCACGTTGCGGTAGCGCGGGCATCCGGTTGGTGTACAGCTGTACTTAAGATGTTTGGTTGTACATCGGTGTGCTGGGGATGCGGAGAGACTCGCATACGAGGCCTACGCGCTCAGGTGTTAAGGCTGCAAGATTGGATCGTCCAATGACTCAGCTCAGAAACTGCGTCATAATAGGGTGATTAGTAGCGATTGTTTTGCGAGGGAAATCCCACTTTTTGTGATTGGGACATTCAGATTGCGGTGATTTTAGAACAGCCGCTGGAAATTTTGAGTAGAACACACAATGGAAATTTTGAGTAGAACACACAATACCATCTTCACTGTTGTCAAGAGGGACGATAAAGAGGTAGCACTGGGGAGGAACGACGACGAAGAACACTTGTGTGGTCGAGGGCAAAACTAAAGATGATTATTAACGGACTGTT